TGACATAACCTTAAACTTCTTATTTTCTCTCTTCCCAAGGATAAGATGCTGTCTGGTTTTTTCCTACTCCCAGTTAAATTAAAAATGTTTTTCTCTCTGTTCCTAAAATGGATTACTTTTCATCTGTGATTCCTGAGAATTTGTTGTTAAATGCTAAAGTTTGTTTGATTTTTTTTTTCAGCTTTCCTATGGCAGTTGATGAGGTTTAATATTCTTCAGCTTTTGAGGAATCTAAGATCTCACTCTCAAGGAAAGGAGATGACAGATGCTGATATTTTAAATTGGGCTAACAACAAAGTCAAAAGCACTGGCAGGACTTCTCGAATGGAGAGTTTTAAGGTTCAAACAGACTAAACCTGTTTTCATCTTACAGTATAAATGCAATCATAATCCTAAACATGATTATATGTGGTATTCTGAAACCTGGGATTTATCTCCAGGATAAGAGCCTATCAAATGGGATTTTCTTCCTTGAGCTTCTCAGTGCTGTAGAGCCTAGGGTTGTCAACTGGAACCTTGTTACTAAGGGTGAAAGTGGTAAGATTCTTTTTGCAATGTTTACATTTACAATTGAGCAGGAAAAGGACTTTGACCGAATTAATTTTGAGTAGAGTACTGATGAGAGAAGTGGGTTTCTTTTCTTGTTGCAATGATAGCTGAAGAAAAGAAGTTGAATGCTACGTACATAGTCAGTGTTGCACGAAAGCTTGGTTGCTCCATTTTCTTGTTGCCTGAGGACATCATGGAGGTAAAGAGTAATTCCAACTGCAATTTTTTTTTTGGTTTAGGGTCATCAATCTCATTTCATGCATAGAGACTAACTAGTGACATTTTAAATTCATGTTCATCCATCTCATTAATGCTTAGAGACTAAAGTAGTGACATTTTGATATCATGACTTTGGTGGCCTACATGATTTATGAGAATGATATTGTCACACTGTTGGGCAGGAAATATATAATGAAATTACTTGCATTTTGGCTTTCTTGAAGATTGTGAAGATCTGTTTATCCGTGGATTGCCTAATTCAAAATTTATTTATTTACTAAAATACAGAAACACACATCCACACTTGAAATTTACAAACACGCTGAAAGTTGTGCACAATTTTGGAGCAGTAAGCTGTATTTTTTATTTTATTTTTTTTGCCAAAGGAGCAGTAAGCAGTGTGGGGTTCATATAACTTCATGACCTTCACAATTTCAATAAGTGTTTTTTTTTTGTCGAAACAATTTCAATAAGTCGATTTGTGATGTTATGGCAGGTGAATCAGAAGATGCTTCTGACCCTAACAGCCAGCATTATGTTTTGGAGCCTGCAACAAGCAGTTGATGACACAGAAAGATCACCGTCCCCTGTTGATGTGTCACCAGCAACATCTATCAATGGAGAGGACGAAAGCTCCTCTTCCCTTGGTGGTGAAATTTCAAACTTAAGTATTGATGACACTGCCTCTGACACTACAGTCACTTCCCAGTTTGAGAATGAGGGCAGCACTGCCAGCACTCCCAGCACTCCTTTGGGAGACGGGATCAGGGCGGAAGAGAAAGGGTGCATAGCTGTTCAGTAGTTTCAAGCAAAAGCATATATATACTCGAAGCTCCATAAAAATATGGTTGGTTGTAAACAGATTTAGAATCACAGGTTGAGAAGAAAAGAGACAACTTTGTAAGTATTTCGACTTTGTAGATATTGAGAGACGTTCCTTTTTGACAGTAATTATATCAGTCAAAGATGAAATAATTGACGAATGTTTGGTAATGGGTGTGGTAGTAGTAGTGCGAAAGAAAAGAAAAGAACTCTCTTTTTTTTTTCAAGAGCTGAAAAGAAAAGGAAATTACATTAATTAAGAAAGGGAACCAAGGGAAGTAACTTTACACCAAAAGGGCCCTTTTCTTGTCCTAATTTGGAAGGATGATAGGCGAACTTTGGTTTTGGGGTTCAGCTCATACGTATCAATAAAAAGCTTATTTTTAAGGATAAGAGCTTATGCCGAGGGATAAATTATGGTCAGGCTACTAACTGATTAAATACTCAGCTTGTATTTTCAATCAAACACTCCAAAGTACGAAATAGAACATTTTGCTAATCAAATGAGTAACTTTATTTCCATTATTTGAAGTTATATAATTACCATTTTAGGCTTTTAAATTACCTAAACGAGTAGGTACAAAATTTAAGGTTTAGTTTTACAAGCACCACTTTGAGGGGTTTTTTTTTCCTTCATTTTTTTGATGTAGCAATTGTCATCCATGAGGTCCGGTCTCAAAACTTCCTCCAACAAAATAGAGACTATAAAATAGAGACTACATACCACTAGACCAAATGATCATTGATCACCATTTTTAAACTTTGAATTTATCAAACCCAAGGTTGACCTTGAGATGGTGTAAGTGGTGCCCCACATGACCCAAAATTTTCCCCGATATCATAGTTGTGGGAGTAAATAATTCGGCTTCCAATCACAAGGCGCCACTTGGACAAGAAGAATATCTCCTAGGTCAATTAATTGAGCCCATTTATTTGGCAAATTAATTGATACAAAAAATATGGATATTATCTTTATTTAAAAAGATAATATCACCAATTAAGATATTATCCTAATTTGGAGATATCATCATCAATTAGTGAATTGATCTCAATCAAGTCCCTAATTGACTCAATCTCTACAATTTGGAGAAAGAATATCTTCCTTCCAAATAAGAATATATTCTTTGAAAAACCCAAGATGCCTAGAGCTCTATAAATACATGGCTTCATTCAACACACCAAGTAATTCTAAATCCATATTTTCCTATCACGGCTCCGGCCACCCGGTTCTCCCCATAGAAAAAACCTTTGGCCAACACCCCCAGGTGTGGTCTTTTACTCATGTTTGCTTTTAAAAGAACCGAGGAAGAGAGAGAAAGAAGTCCAAAAGGCGAGATACTCTCTCGTGAGAATATTTGCACAAACAATAGCCTATATTTTCCACAATAAACCATATTGAGTATGACTACAAAAAGAATGCTTTGTCGGTGGCAAGAGGAATTACGGATTACCCAAAAAAGAGAAAAGAACGTATATTAGTAGCTATACCTAGCAACGAGTTGTGTTTTGTAGGGGTTCATGTCATGTGAAAATTAGCTAACTTGAACATGGCTCGCCTCCGAGTGTGGCTCGAAATGAACCGTGTTCCTTTTCGACACCTCATGGAAAAAACCACCAACACTTGCTTCTGGAGGCCTCTTCTTTCTCGATTAGAATAACATGAGAAAATGAACACACGAACATGACCAGCAAAAATAACATTTTGTATGACTTGGTTCATCCGTTAAAACTATTACCCTATTTCAACTGTTACTCATCTATTTTCACATGTTTAAAAAAAATATATAAATAAAAAATAATTGAAAAAAACAAATGAATAAATCACCAAAGTAAAACATCTTACAATTCACAGTTAATTTATGAAAAACTTCAATCCTAAGGGAATGAAATGAGTAATTACAAGATGATACAATGCATGATTAATGAGCACATATAGGGTTTTTAAGTCAAATGGTTCCTGAATTTTTGCCCGATTCGCATTTTGGTCATTCAATTTTCAAAATCGTTACGATGGTCAATAAAGTTAACTTTCAATAGGAAGAATAGTTCTTCTATTTGTCATGTTAGCTATTTGTGTCAATTTTGAGCATGTGCATGACATGTGGTGGGCAAAAACATAAATTAGTTGGCTCATGATATATGTGGAGCAATTCCTCCTTCTCCAACCAACCACAACCTACCCCAACCCCTGCAATTACTCAAAACACCCACCAAACTCGCTAGCCAACACCCAACCTGAGCCACCCTAGCACTCTCTTCCCCGACCAACCACAACCCACCCCATCCCCAGCAATTACCTAACCACCCCAACCCCTCTCTCTCTTTCTCTCTTTCTCCCTAACCCCCATACCACAACCCACAACCCACACCCTTGCCCAAAGTTTGACCCAAGTGCCCATAATGGAAGAAACTTCGAAGGCCAGCATAGGAGGTGGTCTGATGCCACTTTTACTCATTCCAAATGAGAAAACACCTTATGGCCCCGTTTGGTTCATGGGAAGGGAAATTTGGGGATGCGAAATCAAATGCTTTCCTATGTTTGATAAGTCAGGCATGGGAAATCGTTGCCTTGGTCATGGGAAAGTAGGGGGGAAAGTGAAGCCATCCTCCCTCTTTGGGTTTTACTTTCCCTTCTCATGGGAAAGTAAGGCTAGCATTAAATGCACTTTTTTTTGATAATTTATAATTATAGTTTTATCCAACAACTATTGGTATTCCTTTTTTATTTTTTAATTCATAACATATTTTTAATAGGGGTAAAATTGGGAAACTAAACAAAATTAGTTTTCCATACCTACTCAAAACAAACATGGGAAAGGAAATAAAGTAATATTTCCGGGTTACTTTCCCAGCATTACCAAACATGGGAAAAGAATCACAATTTCCTATCTCTTGGGAAATGACATGGGAAATGATTTCCCATCAAATCCATTCCGTGAACCAAATGGGGCCTATGAAGAAGAAGTGATTTACAATTTAGGGCTGGTTTCAAAAAGGGGGGAGATAAACCAACATAAAAAGACACATTTATCATTAAATTTAACAAAAAACAATTGACAAAAGAGATAGCAAGACGATTCTTGCTAACGAAAGTGAAGTTTAAAAAATAAAAAATAAAATGCGAATCAGGCCAAGATTCAAAGACTATTGGACCTAAAAATCCAGCCCGTATATTCTCAACAAAAAGCTTGTATGTAGCCCCGAACGCCGAATTTAAGACGTGGTGGACAATATTGCGAGGTCCCCACTATTCACTCTTCTAGCAAGCATTCTGTACCTACAGGGCATGTCACAAAATGCGTAATGGAGAATAAATGTGTAATCTTTTTATTCCTGAACGCGCCCGCAACTTATGAACAGGAATTTCAGAGCAAATAAAAAGGAAGCAAAAAGGACATAACCCGAAACTGGAGACTCAGAGTCTGACTCGGACTGCGTCACTTCCGTTCCCCTGCCTATTTCATTTTCCTCGCTCACAAAACGATTCGTCATCTCACAAAACATTGCTTCATACCTTTATTTGCCTTTTCTCTCGTCTTTTACATTTTGATTTATTTTTCTTCGGAAATCCTTCCCAGTTTAGTCTCGAGTTTGCCAAAAAAATGTGTTTTGTTGTTGTTGGGTTCTGAGAAAACGGAGGAATATAGCTTTTTTCACCATTGAGGCACGATTGAGAGTGGAAGGTACAAATCTGATAGTTCCTATTTCTTCCTTTTTTTTTGCTTCGAAAGGCAAACGGGGGATTACACATTGTCTTGTTGTCATTGTGCTCTTATTGTTATTCTTAGTAATTTTCTTTTTGGGAAAATATTTTATAAACCAGCTTTTTTGTTTTGTTTTCAAATTTTTGTTAGTGATTTTTCGTGAACTGCTCATACTAATTTTACCCAAATGTTTCCTTCAACTTTATGATTGGGTGTATTAGCAGTGTGAGTTGAAGAAGGGCATGGCATCCTCAGATGGCGAAGCCGAAGCTCTGCCGTCTACTGTGTCAAATTACCATTTCGTGGATGACAGAGACGAACCCATATCATTTCATGTTCTGCCCATTCAATGGAGTGAAGGTGAGAGGCAGGGTGGCAAGAAAGTTAAGATTTTTCTGCATGGAACTGTTGATAATGGGATTCAGGAGATATATAAGCATGTTATAGCTTGGAAGTTTGACCTTTCCAAGGGAAAGCCCGAGATTTTTGTACTCTCCGAGGAAAATAATTGGCTTAGGCTTCTGAAGCCGAGGAAGAGCTTTGAGGACACGGTGCGGTCAATCTTGATAATGGTTCAGTTCCTTCATTATGTGAAGAGAAATCCTGAAACATCCTACAAATCTTTGTGCACTCACTTGTCTAAAGTTTTCAGGTAACTTGCAAAACTTTAAACATCTTATACTTCTATTTTGCTAGTTTTCTTATAACAGAGTTTGATAATTTTCATTCAATGTTCAGCTTGTATGACGTCAGGCATTCTCATAATGATCTGCTGGATCACATTCTGTTGATACGTGATTCTATTGAACGGGATGATGCCTTAGCAAGGTCCAAGGTTTGTTTAGCTTCTTTTATTGTCATTGGAATTGTAAAATGTATTTCAGTCATGTTTAAGCTTTTCATATCATTATTTATTTTCCATATAATTCAGGATACATCATTAACTTTATTATCCAGAGTATCTAATTTACATCTATTGATTGAAAATGAATTTGGTCATAATTCTTTACTCCTAAAAAAGCATGTCTGGAATGAAATAATAAATTCCTAGTTTATTTAGACACCACCTTCCATTTAGATGGAAACAGAGTGGACCACCGAAATGAGGCTGTGCCAGTTTTTTGTTTCTTAAAATGATCTTATGCATTCATTTTGATATTTAAGTTCATAGTTCCGCTGCAAGTTTTCCCATTCCTCTTGAGTGCACAGGGATTGTGGCCTGAGATAAGCTGCCAGAAACTTCTCATTAAGGCTCAATCACATCAAATTGTTCGAGCAGAACAATTATATCCCAATGATTGGTAGCATACTATCATTGAGAAGGATGTGTGTTCTTGTATTCCTCATGGTTGGTATTTCCCAGATTAAGGCTTCTAGTTAAATATTTATAATTGGAGGATTAGGCAAATAACTATTTCATTCTATTGGCACATGTTTAAGTTTTACTTTTTATTTGAAAAACATTCATTTCCGACCCTTTATGTTAACATATCGAGCTCTAAGTAGCTCAGTACCTGCTTATTCTTTGATTGAACATCTGAACCTTACCAGCATGAAGTGAGTTTTCCATTATGTGAACTTTGTTGAAACTTAAAAACTTTTCTTTACTTTGTTTTTTCTTTCACATGGGTGTTATCTTTGTTTTATTTTCAGTCGGTTACTATTTCCAGTCTCTGATCCATTGGCTATTATATCAAATTGTACATGATCTTTTAAAGCCAATTTCATACCTTATGCCTTGTGCATGAAATACATACACTATATTTCTCTGTATGCACAGTTAACTGCAATGACAAATTGTGATTTAACAGTTTTTGGTGAATTTCCTTGGAGAGAAGCCCGCAAAGAGGCAACTATCTGATGAGGTCATATTCTCCTGCTTATCTCTTTCCCTTCCTTTGGTAGACTTTTGTCTCTGGGTTTTATTATTTCTGTTTTTTTCTTTTGTGTTCAAATTATAATGTTTTGAACAAGTGTATTCTTTTGATTTTCAGGGCATTCAAGGTACAAAAGATCTCAGATTTGTGGTTGATCATACAGAAAATGATATGATTGATGGTGCAGAAAATGAGTCCAGTGACATTGATAGCCTGTTTAGCTCTGTCTGTGCTTTCTGCGATGATGGTGGTGATCTCTTGTGGTATGCTATGGTGTTAACTGATTCTTATGATTATGATGGATATATTCTCTAAAGAAATTAATTTCGTATAATTTATGGTGTGAATAACAATTTTGCTCTAATGCAGTTGTGAAGGGAGGTGCCTAAGGTCCTTTCATCCAACTGTAGAGTCTGCTGTGGGTTCTGATTGCAAATCTCTTGGCTTTACCAAGGATGAAGTAGATGTATGCTCCTGTCAAATATTTACTTTGTAAATTCTATATATTTCTTTTCGTTGATATCATGATCATGAATAGTATATATTGTTTTGAACTTGGTAGGCGACGCAAAATTACTTTTGCAAGAACTGTAAATATAAACAGCACCAATGCTTTGCTTGTGGGAAGCTAGGTCCCTCTGATAATTCTTCAGGTGCAGAGGTATGACTTTGCTCTAAGAAACTGAACAATTGTTAAATGTTGGAATCATGGTATGTTGATTCTGGGTTTATTTTTATATATAGCTGTATGAACTGCCACTTGATTAGTTTTAGCAAGTAGTACACTAGTGAAAGATTTTTGTAAATCGGAACTAGTTAATCTTCTCTTTCCCCGTTTGAAAGTTGTATGTTGAAGTGCAATTTGTTTTTTCCTGTTTGGTTTTTAATTTCAGGGGCAAAATTGGTTCTTTAATATGTTGAGTTATTAAGAAATGAGCAAGTGCCAAGTAGATAACTGGAGATTTTGTTAATAGGAATCATTGTGTTTTGTTAGGTCTAATACCTCATAGTCTTCTCCTCATGCTGTTCCCTTTTCGATTACGCTTCCCTTATACTTTCTTTGAATATACTTCTTGTGTTGGCTTTGATATTACCTACATCCTTACTTCGTTGTGCTTGTGTCACCATTTAATCTTCTGGGAATTGTTTCCAGTTGGGATTGTGGTTCTGTTCCCATGTCATCGTCTGGGAATTATTCCTGGTTGAAATTGGTTTAAGTTTGTTTTATCATGTCTTTTTCTTTCAATAAAAGGGTAATTGATTATTTATTTTTTTTATAGATTTTGTGCTAGAGGTGAAAGGTTTTGGTGTGAGGTGGAGGAAGTGTATATGAGGTTGTTAAGATCTGTTGATTTCTCAGTGATATTTAATGGGAGGCCCTGGGGAAAAATTTGGGTCATCTAAGGCCTAGGGCTCTGGGACAAGGAGACCCATTAACAGCCTTCCTGCTCACTCTGGTGGTTGACGCATTAATTAGGTTGGTGCAGGGATCAATTCTCAGGAGTAAACTGGAGGCATTGACAAATAGACTTGGGTGTGATGTGGGGTTTGCCCTTTAAAGTATTAGGTCTTCCTTTTTGGTGCAAACCCCTGAGCAACAGATTTTGGGACCTGGTTTTAAAGTAAAACAAAAGAATATTTCCTCTGCACATTTTCTAATTCTTGCTGTGAAGGATGACTCAAAAAGTTAAGAAAAGTCATAAAATATGACAAAATTTTTTAGAAGAAATGAAGACCTTTCCATTTCCAATGCATGTAGTTATGATGTAACTCATTCTGATTTCAATAGATGAATCAGTAGAACTAAGTTTCAGTAAACTTGAATGTCCCTGATTGAATTTTTTTATAACTTTTAATTGGCAAAAGTAGTCAACTTTTCCTCTATTCAAGTCAGACATCATCAGTATTATCATAACAATATTTGTATTCTTTTCTGCATTTCCATATCATTGCAATCAGTATTATCGGTAGCACTATTTTATGGTTAGTTTGCATTAATGCATTCTACTTAATTTCTTTTAGGTTGTTCCATGTTTTTCTGCGATCTGTGGTCGATTTTACCATCCACGATGTGTTGCAAAATTGCTTTATCGAGATAATGGAGTTTCTGCTGAAGAACTTGAGAAAAAGATTGCTATGGGGGGGTCTTTTACATGTCCGATTCACAAGTGCTGCGTTTGTAAACAAGGAGAGAATAAGAAGGAGAGGGATTTGCAGTTTGCTGTGTGCATGCGTTGTCCTAAATCGTACCACAGGAAATGCTTGCCAAGGTACTCTTAATGGTTTGTTCTTTTGTTTTTTGGTTTTTGATATGCGGTTATGGCTCATGGTTCCATGGTCCTTTATCTGTAGTGTCTAGATGGCTGATGCTTGTATTGCTTGTATCAGAAAGATTGCTTTTGCAAAGGGAGGAGGAAGTGATGGAGAACGGCTATTAATACCAAGAGCATGGGAAGGTCTATTACCTAAACGCATTCTTATATATTGCACGTAAGTATTATTTTCTTTGATGAGCAGCTTTTACTTGTTGGCTGCAGTTTTTCTGAGTGGTTTTTGCCTTTTCTTCTGACCAGAAAACATGAAATGAATGAAGAAGGCAGAACTATTATAAGGGACCACTTAAAATTCCCTGATGTTGAAGCGAAGAAGACTGTTACAGAAGAAAATACGAAAATTTTGACATCAGAGTCCCTCATAGGGAGAGAGAAAGTTGTGTCTAAGAAAATGGTTTCCTTGGATGAATTATATAGAGTAACAATTCCTACTGAAAGATCTGAACACAAGCAGAAGCCATCTGCTGAGGAAGTGGGTGGTAGAAATGGGGATAAAGTATTTTCTGGGTCTGACACTTTGAGAAAGGTGACAATAAATACTGCATCTAAAAAAGAAGTGAAAACTTTCACCTCTGAGGAAAAGAAGACTTCAGTAGGTGAACATGAAAGGAGCTCCTCTAAGATCAATTGTGAAGGAGAATGTCAGAAGAGTCTCGGCCATGGGAATAAGCGAGGCAATGCGACATTAGGAAAGCTGCAGCATGGTGGCGAAGAAAAGCACAGAAGAGGAATGGTTGAGATTTCATCAGTGAACAAGCGTTGTGGCATTGCTAATCAGCATTCTGAGTTGAGTAAGACTGGTAATATGCAGTTTGGAATGTCTAATGGTGGAACCCAGCTCAACATTTGTGTTGACACAGGATCTTGCTCACAGGTTTGCACGTGTAGGCAGCAAGTTCCTGATCTTGCACGATGTAATTTAGTGAGTCAGGATTCTGTTTATGAGCGGATTGGTTTGCGGTCTTCTACTACTTGTGGCCATCAAGGTCTGGCAGCTGACTCATTTTCTGGAATGAAGCCATTATCTATGGTGCCATATGCACCTCAATGGGATAAGTCTAACTGCTCAATGCCAACTGCTTTAGTTAACAGTTACGGTCCCGGAGAGCGTAAACCTGGCTACCTTGGCAATCCTTTGGGTTTTGCTCCTGGCCCTCACCAGAACTACTCAGTGCATAATTCAGCAGGTTGGCTGGATGAGTAATTACAAGGATCACGTTAGGGAGGCGCCATCCCTTTTTTGTAAGCTTGGAAGATGTTAATGATTTTGAGGGACCCGTTGGTGTAAAGAGAAATGAGTATATGGTATTTCTTAATGGACTGATGATGAAAATGACAAAGCAAACCAACGGCCGGGACAAGAATCTCATGAAGGTTGTACAAAGCCTTTGTCTTATCCATTGCCTTTTGAACATCTCTCACTATAGTATATTTAGAAATTTCCCGTATCTCGGTCAACTGTTGATTCATGTAAGGATCCAAGTAGCTTTATACCAATTATCAAAATCCATAGTCAGTTGTAGGAGAAAAACTTAGTTGTAACGGGGATAGCATTGTTTTGCCATTCCCGACCAATAATGCTATCCCACGTGAAAGTGTTATCATTCATGTCATAATTTTATTGGTTGGGAATGGTAAAAATAGTGATATACCCATTACATGGAAGTCTTTCTCCAAATGGCAAAACAATGCTATCCCACGTGAAAGTGTTATCATTCGTGTCATAATTTTATTGGTCGGGAATGGTAAAAATAGTGATATACCCATTACATGGAAGTCTTTCTCCAGTTGTAGGCATTGACACGGATCCTTTTGGTCGCAAGATAGACTAACCCGCGAACTAAACTAAATTTCCAGTATACCAAAATCTATCTTAAAAGATGTTTTGGACAAAATTGGTTTGAGTCGGCATATTAAATTTTAGTTTCGGTTTAATTCGGTACGAAATTTCGGCCATGGATATATTTCATGCCAAGTCGAACTAGCTCGGTTTTTCATGTCTCGGCTCAAGCCTGCCCACATAGGACGGGCCTATACGAGCTTGATTGTGCCGGCTCAAGCGCTCTCAATGAAAATACTTATAATGGAACCATGTGCCATATAGTTCAAGCATGCAAACTACGTGCGTCCGTCCCATTATTAAACGTAAACGACATGGCGTTGGGCTAGGAGGTTTTCATTCCTAATTCCTCACTGGGGGAACATAAAGAAGTTCAAATTTCGCAGCAAATTGAAAAAGAAAAGAATGGAGAAGAAGACGAAGCGACGAGGCGAATTAGGAATGAATAGTTTGCGTGAGTTTCATCGATCAAGAGACGAAGCAAAGTCCAAGGTTTTGTCTAGCTTCTTTTCTTGTCATTGTAACTTTCTTTAACATGTAATTAGCCTTTTATTATTATTTTGGACTACAATGGATGGTCTAAACTACAAGGGAGGGGCTTTCTCACACACACACAACATCAAGATGCTTCTAGTATGCAAGTCAAGGCCTTTTTCACCGGACTAGACCCTTTTTGGCATGATTAGCCATTTTTAGTACTTCTTATCATCACTATCTACTTTCCAGATAATTCTTAGAACTTCTTTTCTTTTTTGTTTTTGTTTTTGTTTTCAACTTTGTTGGCTTTTGTACCTGATTTTTTATTTTCAAATGCTCCTATGCATTCATGTGATTTCTCACTGCATAGTTCCACTGCAATTTTTTGATTTTTTTTCCTAAACTTTGTTGGCGTTGGGCATAGATATTAAAGATTTGTGAACCTTTATGTGAACACATTAAGCTCTATGTGCAAACTGCTTATTCTGTAATTGAAATCTGGTTGGTATTATTTAAATATGAGGTTGTTATAGTGTTTGAGCCACTGAACTCATTGGATTTTCAGGACATTCAAGCTACCGAAAAGCCCGGATTTATAGTTGATCACATGGAAGATTATGAGATTGAAGTTGAAGACGAGTCCAATGATGATGATGACCTGTTTGATTCTGTTTGTGCTTTTTGTGATAATGGTGGCAAGCTTTTGTGGTATGCTTTTGTGTTGTCTCGGCATTCTTTGAAGAACTTCATTTCCTAGAATTTATGGCTTAAATGTATGTATTTTTTTTCCTCTAATACAGCTGCGAAGGGAGATGCCTAAGGTCCTTTCATGCAACTAAAAGGCTTGGTAAGGATACCAGGTGTGAGTCTCTTGGATTTACCCAGGATGAAGTAGATGTATGCTCTTCTTATCCACTTTTGTTGTAAATCCTGTTTCTTTCTTTTTGGTTGTCTTTTTGTTGTTGGTGTTATGATAGTTTTTATTTTATGTTTTGAACTTCGTAGGCGATGCCAATTTTCTTCTGCAAGAACTGTGAATATAAACAGCATCAGTGCTTTGCTTGCGGGAAGCTAGGATCCTCTGATAAATCTTCAGTTGCTGAGGTATGAAGTGTTTTATACCTAGCTGTTGACTTGATCACTTGATTAGGTTTAGCAAGTTGTACTCTAATATGAAGGATTGTTATAATTTTAAAACTAGGATTGTATAGTTATTCTATTTTGTTCCTATCTTAATGAAGCAACACTGCAGTACACTTTTGTTCTTTTGTTTGTTCTTTTTATTTTGGGGAAGTATGCTGCAATTTTGTTTTCCTTGTATGTGTGGTAACATGATGGGTTATTCAGAAATGAGCTGCTTGGGATCATTTTCTAGTGGTCGGTCCACATCTTTTCTTAAGTGTGCTTGTAGTGCCCAATTCATCCTTTGAGCATTGTTTCTGGTTGGCATTCTTTTCCATTTCTTATATTATGTATTTTATTCTTTTTTTACTTTCGTTTTCCTCAGTCTAGCTAGAATAACTTTTTAGTCTACACACACATGTATTTCTCTGGTTAATTAATTTTTTTTTCTTTGAATAAAGAAACAGATTTTGAGTAATAGGAAAGGTCAAACATATAGAAGCATGAATTGTCCTTAAATCAACTGGAAGAATGGCCGTACATGATATTAACATAAGGCCAACCTTTTGGGATCTTATAGAGACCAATTACCATAAATAAAGAAAGTGGGGGTACCCCTTTAAACTCTTTGGAACTGGAAACCGAAGTAGAAGCTAAAAAAGGGCAATTTTTATCCCAAATCCCATTCAGTTTCTTGCAAAATGTTGGCATTTCTCTATGATTCCCAAAGAATGATCATGACAATGCACCTCCATAATATTTTTGAGTTCTTGAATTTCGACCAAAGCCTGTTGAGTCAAGGAAATTGGGAGTTCAAACCTGCAAATAGCCGCTCCCCTTCCTAGAAGCCACTGATCAAATTTGGTTTTACTAAAGATTTTTATTTTATTTTTTGGTAAAGGGTTTTGTGTTTCTGTTGTCTTTTTTATCTGGATAATAGTCAGCTTTTTTATTTATTTTATGTGTATACATCAATCCGAAATCTTCAGCATGTTCTTTTCTGCCTTTTCATATATTGTCATCAAACAAAGTAGTACTCATATTCTTAAGTTTGGGTTACCTTAGCACTTTTATTAATTGCTGTTAGGTCTTCCGCTGTGTTTCTGCAACCTGTGGTCAATTTTACCATCCACACTGTATTGCACAACTCGTTTATCCAGACAACAGAGTTACTGCTGAAGAACTTGAGAAAAAAATTTCTATGGGGGAATCTTTTACGTGTCCAATTCATAAATGCTGCGTTTGTAAACAAGGAGAGAATAAGAAAGATCCCGAGTTGCGGTTTGCTGTGTGCAGGCGTTGTCCAAAATCCTACCACAGGAAATGCTTACCAAGGTACTCTTAATTGTAATTTTTTTTTTCTGTTTTCCTTTTAGTATGCTGTTATGAGACCATGGATTGGTCCTTTGTTTGTGTCTAGATGGTTAATGCTTGAATTGCTTGTACCAGTGAGATTGTAACTGAAAAAATTGAGAAAACAGAGGAAGAGGAAGAAGAGGAAGAAGAGGAAGACGAGGAAGTGGAAGATGAAGAAGATGAAGACATAGAGGGTGAAGATGTAATAACAAGGGGTTGGGATGGTCTATTACCTAACCGTATACTAATATATTGCCTGTAAGTATTAATTTTTGTGAACTACTTTTGATCATCACTTTGTCTGCTTTAATTTTCTGAATGCTTTTTCACTTCCTTCGTATTAGGAAACATGAGATAGTTAAAAGAATTAAAACTCCAATAAGGGACCACTTAAAATTCCCTGATGTTAACGAAAAGAAGACTGGTCTTGAAGAGAAAAAGAAAAAGCGGGCAGCAGAGTCCGTTTTAGATAGAGAGAAATCTGTTACAAAGAAGAGAAACCTTCCATCTGAAGAATTCTATAGGGGTAAAACTGCTCATACAATATCTAAACAGAAGCTGAAGTCACCTTGTGCTGTAGAAGTGGGTGGCAGCAGAACTACTGAAAAAGTACCTTCTGGGTTGGATATATCAAGAAGGGTGAAAGTAAATAGTTCATTGAAAAAGGAAATTAATACTTCCGTGGCTGAGGAAAGGAAGTCCTCATTCGGTGATATGCTATTTGGGGTGAAGGGGTCTGAGCAAGTGAAGTCAGGGAAGCAGGGTAAACCTGATGGTGAGCGTAACTCAGTAGTAGTTAATCTTGCCTCTAAAAAGTTAAGCAGCACACCACCTTCTTTAGATGTAGCTACAAAGAGAAGGTAACTCTATTCACTCCTAATTGTTTACCAATTCTATATCTGTTTATATATTTATACACCATTTCTTGATAGCATTACATCGGTCATCAATATATATGTATAGTACACCCTTATTTTATCACCTCTCTCTCTCTTTCTATACACGTGCATGCAAATACACACGTATGTGTTTGGATACTTTACAAAGACTTACCATGGCTGCAGACAATCTTGATTTGAGGTTTTTCAGTGTTATTATAAGTTGTGTACAGTTATCTGATTTATTTCTTGGAATTCAGATTATTGGCTCTAATGAAAGATGCTGTGTCTTCAATAACTTTGGAAGAGGTTAAAAGAAAGCATAAAGTTCCTTCGACTCATGCATTGTCATCCAGAAATGCTGTGGAGAGGAACATTACACTTGGAAAGGTGGAAGGCTCAATTGAGGTGCGTCTAAACTGGGAGGATTTCTGACCCATAAAAAAAGACTGGGAGGATTTCAACTGTTCTGGACTATGAGTATTTTATGATTTATTTTATCAAGCATTTTGTAACGTTGTCCATGTATATTTAGGCTGTTCGAACAGCGTTACGGAAACTAGAGGAAGGATGCAGTACTGAAGATTTAGAGGCTGTGTGTGCACCTGCGATGATTAATCAGATTTATAAGTGGAAGGTGGTTTCCTATTCCTGTCTCACTGTCCTACAGCTTGTCTTAAGTTTGGTGGTTAGGCGAAGATTATACATCTTCATATTCTTTCTATTAATTTATAAGTCTCCTACATTAATGCTTGTTGGTCTGTGTACTAGACTTATGCATCTCAGCTATATGCCTAGTCAGGTTATGCTTGGTTTGTGGCTCGGGTAATGTGGTGTAAACTAGCCAGGTTAAACCAAGTATCACATTGGTCAAACTTGGGTTGATTGAAATTGGTTGAGCTTTAGCCAAGCTTGATTAACTATGCTCAAAGTTGTGCTTTGAATGTTGGTTTCCGGCATGAGGTACACTTGTATGTGAGATAAGCTTAACTTGAATTCGTCTTAGGTTCGGTCAATGTGGGATGTGAGCTTAAAGCGTGGTTTGAGTCACTTAATGACTAGGAAAATGCAAATACATAAGTGAAGAAATAAAGAAAATCATGTAACAAATAGAAAATTTTAATATTGGTAAATTATTGAGTGTTCAGTTTTAAAAATTTTATTGGGAAGCAGCTGAAGAGCAAATGGACAAGGCGATGTCGATTTAAAGTAGAGTTTTCTTGTGATGAAATTGGAGCCAGGACGAGCCTGGCTTCTAGTTTTAATTTTTTTAGCAAGCTTGTTATTTTCTTTTAGCTTGGCTTGTTTCCTTTACAAGCCAAGTCCAAACGAGCCAAAAAAATTTAAGCACTTGAGCTGTATTAAGCTGACTTGGGTGCAGTTATAGGGTATGCTGTGATTCTTGATGCACATTGCTAGGGGTAGGCTACGTTGGTTTAATTTCAGTCCACAATTTTAAGAGGAAGCCTATTTGGTTGTTTGGTACATGCTGAGAGATACTCATTCACAAATAATTTCCAAACATTTAACATAGATTGTGACATATTTCATTTCTAAGAGTTAGAGAAATATTAAGTATGTGCCCTTGCATGTTTGCTTGAGATATAAAATGTGCGATGATGAGCTTTTTGTAGCATCCTGCGTGGCCTCACTCTATAATAACAGCTATTTCCCAATGGATTAATGCATACAGCATAGCGAGAATAACTGTTAGCTGTAGATCTCCTCTCTTTTTTTCTTTCTTTTGGTTGAGTTTGCTAGGCCATTTTACTCTTATGTAATATTTGTACTAATGGTTCATTAGGAAACGGTTGTGCTCTCTTACTTCCCATTAATTTTATTGACTTACTTTGATGCAGAACAAACTGAGAGTCTATCTTGCACCTTTTTTGCATGGAATGCGCTACACCTCCTTTGGTCGCCATTTTACAAAGGTGGAAAAATTAGAAGAGGTAATCTGATTGTGTTCAAGTTTCAGCTATTTCGAAGTTATAAAGCACCTTTTTCTTTATCTTATTATTTTGGCTTTCACTACTCACCATTGACAAAAGCACAAAAATATCTTATCTTTGAAAGTTCTATTTTGACTTCCTACCTGAATGACCCAAAAAACTCTCTATTCACACAGCGGTGTGGATTTTTATTTACTCCTGCTTTCTCATAAATGGTTGGCTAATTAAACTCAGTGGTAGAAATACTATACAGTTATTCAATTATACCTTCCTCTTTGAGATAGTTTTACCATTTTTTATCTTGTCTGCACATGTTCCCTTTATTAAATTTGAGCCACTGAGTGTGGAAATATGAACTCCATGAACCCTTGAAGAAGTCTAAAAGCATAATTTTGAATGTGCAGATTGCTGATAGGCTCCATTGGTACGTAAAGAATGGAGATACGGTACGGATGTACATTCTTATTTTTGTGGTATAATTTTAGTGCATTGGTTGGTGTATGTGAGTGCACTATATGTCTTGTAACATGAAATGTCTTTTGGATGTTGCTTTGAGTTGTGCAATTCCTGATACTTGATGATCTGAATTGAGTATGCTGTTCCAAATTGTAGTCATTCAGTGCTATATAAAAAATTATATTTGCATGGTTGGTTATTTGCCTGAGTTTGTATTCCTTTTTTAGAAGCTTCGTAGTACCTGAAGCTGTATTCCACTGTTCACCTATAGGCCAACTCAACAGACTGTTATAGTATATTTGGCTTCTGAGTTTCTGACCACAGTTTTTGTACTGGTTTTGGAATTAATAAAATTCATTTCTTATAAAAACAATATCCGAGAATTACATTACTTTCTTTTTTCTGCAACAGAAACATCTGGTGTTGGAAAAAGCTATCATGATATATATGAACTTTTGTTTGAATTTACACAGTTGATCGTGCAATATATGTATTCACCACAGAAGTCATAAGATAGTTAAAAATAAAAATAAAAATAAATTATGTGTTCTTAAGTACATATTAAAAGAATAGAAAAGATAACTGATGTTGTTGTGATTCCATATTAAATGGGATATCAATATTGGATCATGAGCTTATGTTGTTAGTTATGAAATTATGATTGCTAGTGGCTTGCTTCTTTGTTTTGAAGATTACATATTCAGTGTTGATTACGTGACCAAAATAATGTTGAGTGCCTGATTGCTTACGGTCCCAATGAACAGATTGTGGACTTCTGTTGTGGTGCTAATGATTTCAGCATCATAATGAAGAAAAAGCTTGAAGAGACAGGGAAGAAGTGCTTTTACAAAAACTACGACTTCATTCAACCAAAGGTAATTCTCATCAGTATTAGTCCTTATTATTAATCAATCCATACATCATATTATCAATGATAGTGTAGAAACTAGAACAGTGTTTGTAGTCTCAGAAGTTATTCACTACTGCTTATGAGGGTATGAACTGCTTGCTAGAAATATGTACACCCGATGGCTTTATAGTTTATTCCAGAAATTTCAGTTGGTGGGCTTTCAGAGTCAGATAGTAAAGAGATAGTGTAGTGTGGGTTTTCTCCTATTTATTCTCCTCTTAATTTTTCCATTTCTTTAAAGTTACTATAATTTCTAAAAATGTTACCATTTATAGTCCACCATTATCATAGGCAGCACCCATCTTGTGTTGTCTTACATTACTTACCGGCTTTTCCAACTTTGGATTGGGCCAAAAGGGTCTCCTCCTTCTCTCCCACTTGCATTCCTACTAAACAAAAGACAACCAATCCATCCATCCATCCATTTTCCCTCCCCCTCCGTTCACTCTTAATACTGCATTAGCAAACAGTGTTTGTGCTTGTTACTTTGGAAAGGCCCCAGATTGTGGAACAGTACAGAAGAATCATGTACTGGGACGTGGTTATCTATTTAAGACAGTTTATTATGCAAAAAGTGTTCTTGGGATCTAATATTGGATTACTTTTTGTTATACCTCTCAAAGAATGTGTAAAGGGGCCTACTGAAACAGGTAATGATATAAAGATTTCCAAACTAAATTGGCCTATTATAGCCTACAGTACATATGCAAGTACAAAAAATCTTGTCCTTCCACTGTGAATGCCTACCACATTTCAGACTTCGGACTTATGAGGTATATGGTTACAGTGTAATGCAATCTGTACAATCAGCACTTGGAGTTTATTCCTGGTTCTTGATTCTCTTCATCCTCATTTTTTGCTTCAAAAAGTTAATTGTGATTAATTTTGTCTCTTATGATTGTTTTCATATGTCGGCTTGTAGGCTTTTGTGTATGTGCATTTTGGTAATTTACAGGCTTATGAAACAGAAGAACTGGGAAACTGATCGTTTTATGTGGATTTTCATTTGGCAGAACGATTTCAATTTTGAGAAGAGAGATTGGATGACTGTTCAACCAGAGGAGTTACGGACAGGGTCACGATTGGTAGGAAATTGGAGCCTGTTGTTATTTATCAAGATGTTTGCATTCTTGAAGCCTTATGTTAATTGTTTCACTCTGCCTAACTTTGCTTCTTGAGCAGATCATGGGGTTGAACCCTCCTTTTGGAGTTAAAGCAGCTTTGGCGAACAAGTTTATCGACAAGGCTCTCGAGTTCAATCCAAGGATTCTTATTCTAATTGTTCCACCAGAAACTCAAAGGTAGCTGCTTTCCGTTTCATCTCTCTCTCAGACATACATCAGATGGGCATGCCTGTGAGCTGGACTTAAATTTGTATATAGTTTCTTACATTTGGGCCTTTCATCAGGTTAAACGAAAAGAATTCGCATTATAATCTAATTTGGGAGGATGAGCAGTTTCTGTCTGGAAAGGTAAAGTGAGATGTGTTTGTCCTAGTGGCTGAATCTTAATCGTCTGAATCGAAACTTTAGAATGAGAGTTTAATGGTGGCTTGTCTTCCTTGCAGTCATTCTATCTCCCTGGATCTGTTGATCAGAATGACAAACAAATGGAGCAGTGGAATGTGAGGCCACCTCCACTCTATCTTTGGAGCCGTCCTGATTGGTCTGCTGAGAACAAGGCTATAGCTCGAGAGCATGGGCACATCTCTGCATCACCACCAGGGTTTCATGAAAACATTGCCAAATCAACATCTCTGCACCACTTCCCCAACTCTAGGCGTTTTCATCACAACATTCCCAAATTCACAAACAATTTCTAAACCTTACAGCTGGGTTCTGTTTCCCAACCAGTGGCTCATGAAGGTTGTGCAAATCTTTTTTATTGGTCAACTGTTGAGTCATGTAAGGATCAAGTAGCCTTATACCAATTACAAAATTAAGAAATAGAATTTGCATTTTTGTTTTGGAAAATAAATAAATATTATAGAGAAGATCCTCGAAGGATCTTATAATCATACTAGTCAAATTTAAATCTAAGCAACATATCCAACGGAAAATTATGAGTGTCTAAATGAACTCTAAAATTAATTGAGTACACCATACAACCAAACTATTTATTGAATTATTAATTTACCTTAATATAAAATTACCAAAAAGGATATATTGAATTATGAAATAAATATAATTTTAATAAGTACACCCTACTCACCGTATTCAGTGTTTAGGAAAGATTAGAAATTCATGCCTAACTTTCAACCCCATAAAAGGGTTATGCCTAGGGATGGCAAAAATCCCTACGGGGTCGAGTACCCGTCTGGTCCCCGACTCTAATGGGGGGAGATTTCGAGGCCAAACGGGTATCGGGTATCGGGATCCCTGAACCTGACTCGAAAATATATATGTTTATATTTAAATAAATAAATATATAATTATAACATTTATGTTTAACCCTAAGTTAACCTCTCTCTCCTAATTCTTCCTAATCTTATTTGGAATTTCATACTGATGTGATTTTGAATAGTTGAGTTAAACTTTATAGTTAATTTGGATGTGTTGAATGATAATTTAATATGAAACTTAATGTTAAAATGTATGATAACTATTTTTTATGCAAAAAAAATCGGGGATTAGGGGCGGGTATGGGGGATAGTCCCCCGATGGGGATGGAGACAGGGATTCCCCAAAACCTATTAAACGGGGATGGGTTCGGGGATAAGGGAGGGGATGGAGAGCGGGGACAGGGATGATATTGTCATATCCGGTCCCTACCCGACTCGTTGCCATCCCTACTTATGCCTACTAAGGAAAGAAAAGTACCCTCCACAACTATGCCAAATTATCCAGAGAATATTAATTGTACATTTCTTATATACTGCATTGACCAAGGGTTCGAAAATAAGGTTGGAGAAGCGGAGAACCGATAGGTTTTCCACAAGCTCCTTGCCCAGACAATGGTATCTCCTGTTAACAGAAAAAAGAACCTTATTATTCGATTACGGTCCATATTCATTGCATGACTAAAACCAACTGAGTTTAACAAAATCAACCTGAATATTTGATCCTCTTCTAGGTACTGCTGGAGGGCCTTGGTCAAAGCAGCAGAGGATTTTGAATCTCGACCAAAGGGTTTCTCAACAATACCCTTGGTCCAGCCGTTACTAGATGAGGATGATGAGCTAGCCGAATGCCAAAAAGAATGGGTTTGGTGTTATGTGATAGAGTCTATTAGGGTGTACGAAGCATATTTTTGGTAGTTAAATAGGATGTACTTAGTTAATTTTATATTTTGATTTAAATATTAGAGTGTACTTAGATCATAGGGTGTACTTCCCCAATGGTTGGAGCTTTAAAAGAGGTTGATAGAGCCTCGTTTAGGGCTCCGATGGAATCTTTGAGGCTCTAAAGGAATCACTCTGACAATAGAAGGGCTCTATATCTAGAGCTCTATATTCGATATAATTTTATAAACGTGTTATTTTTAAAATAAAAAAATTTATTATTTTTTAATGTATATTATTGTATGTTAGTTTTTTTTTTGTGAACATTTCAAAAAAAAATCAAAATAAAAATTTGGACAAGATTTGAAAATCTTTTCTATGAAAAAAAAACCTTGATTGTTGCCTTGAAAAAAACAAAGCCTCATCTGTCAAAAAACACAAAAACAAACCATATCTAGCCCATCCCCTCTCATTGGTCACATTAAATAAAATATAAAACAAAGAGAAGCAATCATTGATCAAGAAGAGAGTATCATGAGCTGCAGTCACAAGGCAAGTCACCAACAACATATATGGGTTGGCAGCTTTTTCTTTATGTGGGCCCCATTCGGTTTCAGGGGCTTCAACCGTGAACATAAATCTAGATATAGCTCCGGTGGGGCTCAATCATTTAAGGCCTCAAAATTGAACAATTGGGGATGACTTTTTTGCTTTAGTTGCTATATATTGCAGCCCACTTTAGAAGGCCCCATTGAGGATGGTCTCTTAGTTAATTTTAAAGTTCGTTTAGCAGCACTCAAAATTATCGAACCAAATACAAACATTTGAATAACTGTGCCCTTTCTTTTTCTATCTATAATGTGGCAAGTTGGCAACATGAGAAAAAACATATTTTTTTTGTCTATAAACTCTATGTTCCAAACACTAGAAAGAAAATCTATTTCAACTGCAGTGTATTCATGGTCATACGAAATTAAAGCGTAAAAAAATCACCTTTAATGTTTCAAAAAAATTTAAATTCCACCTCCACTCATGTGGGCAGAAATTTGAAACTCCCAAACATCCGATAAATATTTGTGTAAACCCCCCTCAATGAAATTTTTTATTACTGCTCCCCAAGAAAATAAAAAACAAAACAAATCAAAAAATGAAGAAGTAAGCTTCGAGGTCAATGACTTGCATAGTTTCTTTTTAGTTGCGACAAAATTACAGTATTATAAAAAATTTGTAAAGAGCTTGTAGCTCAAGTGGTTAAGAGTATTTATCCCTACATATGAAATCTTAGGTTGATTTCCTTTTCCCTCAATATCGCTTGTATAAAAAAAAAAAAATTATTAAAAACAAACCTGCAAAGCGGTACATTGACATGAATTGGTCAATCTATTATGATGATAGTTGATCAATGTCATTGAGCTCAACATAATGATATGGCTCTAGCTATGGGAGACATGCTAATTATGAGAGTCTGTATTTTTTATTTTAGTTTTTAGATATCTAATTTCTTATTATTTTTTCCCATAAATCTCAAATTTTCTCCATTTCACTAAAAAAGAAATATTAAACTTAATTATAAATGAAATTGGTGTGAGTAATACAATTATAATTTAACAAGTACTGAACATATAGAGTTTGCCATCGCGTATTATATGTAATTTAAGTCACACAAGGCCATCATGTAATTAAATTTATCAATTTTGTTGTTGTTAAATAAGTAGATATGAATAAACATGTCTCAAAAGTTTCATTAAAAATTTTTGTTTGATGAAGGAATTAAAAATTACATAGAATTTTAAAATGACAGAATTTAGATTTCCATTATTTCAATTTTTGGCAATTGAAGATTTTAGTATTTTGGATTTATGTATGTCAAATTTTGTAAATGGCATTATGAAAATTGTGAAATGACGCATATTTTTGTGGAAATTAAACTCGGGAATTTGATGCCGTAATTTCCATGACTTTTAATAAATTCTGCACATAAGTTGCCAAACAAGGTAATTTGTCAATTTTTCCTCTTAAATTCCCAATTTTAAACTAAATTCTAAATTATTTCCCTTCATTTAATTTTTGTCAATTTTCGAAACTATGTGTGTCTCAGTCCTCTCATTATTTAACCTACGCGACATGTCGTTGTGGTAGGAGGTATAAAGGTTACCTGATTGATTCCTTCCTAAGTCCTATAAATAAGTTCAAATTTCAATCAAGAGACGAAGCTTTTCAGGGTTTTAGGGTTTTGTGTCAATCTGATTAGGTACGTAAATATTGTTGAATTCCCAATTTCTTCATGTTCTTGTCTTTTCAGTATGCAATTCCTTTCGAAATAGTAATCTTCCTGTTTTCTTTTGTGTTGAAAAATTAGTGATATTCATGGACTGCTTGCTTGTGTTATTTTTACTGCAAAATTCACTGTTCGATTTTATGTTTAAGTGTAGTAAATTAACGGTGTGAGTTGAAGAAGGTTATGGCATCGTCAGATGATGAGATTGATTTTGAAGACGAGTTTGATTCTGTTTGTGCTCTTTGTGATGATGGTGGCATGCTTTTGTGGTATGCTTTCGTGTTGTCTAATTACTATGATAATATGTCACTCTTGGCATTCTTTAAAGAACTTAATTTCCTAGAATTTATGGTTTAAATATATGTAATTTTTTTTTCTCTAATACAGTTGTGAAGGAAGATGCCTAAGGGCCTTTCATGCGACTAGAGAGCATGGTAAGGAAACTATGTGTGAATCTCTCGGCTTTACCCAGGCTGAACTAGATGTATGTTCTTCTTATCCACTTTTGTTGTAAATCCTGTTTCTTTCTTTTCGTAATTGCTATTATGATTTTTATTAAATTTTAGGTTTCGAACTTGGTAGGCGATGCAATTTTTCTTCTGCAAGAACTGTGAAGATAGACAGCATCAGTGCTTCGCTTGCGGGAAGCTAGGATCCTCGGATAGATCTTCAGGTGCTGAGGTATGAATTGTTTTCTACCGAGCTGTTGACATGTTCATTTGATTAGTTTTAGCATGTTGTACTCTCATGTGTGTGGAAACATGATGAGTTATTCCAAAATAAGCTGTTTGGTATCATTTTCTAGTGTTCGGTCTACATGCTCATAGTCTTCCACTATGCTCTGTTGCTCTTTGATTATACTTACATTTTCTTTCCTTTATTGTGCTCGTGTTGTGATGTTGTCTTCCCTGGGTTTGGGACCTAGATCTTTTGTTAAGTGCTTGTAGTGCCCAATTAATCCTTTGAGCATTATTTCTGGTTGGCATTCTTTCCCCTTTTTTATATTATGTACTATTCTTTTTTGACTTTCATTTTGCCCAGTCTAGCTAGAATAAATTTTTCTTTCCCCAGTATTTTCCATATACCCCATAGCTGATTTAGTCAATTTCCCTGGCACTGATACAAATTTTAGTACATCTTTTAGCTTACACATGTCTTTCTTTGGTTAATTAATTTTTTCTTTAAATAAAGAAATGGATTTTGAGTCTTAGGAAAGGTGAAACATATAGAGGCATGAATTGTCCTTAAATCAACTGGAAGAATGGCCATACAGGACATTAACATAAGAGTCAAGACCAGCCTGTTGGGAACACATAGAGACCAATTACCATAAATAAAGAAAGTGGTACTCTTTGGAAGTGGAAACCTAAATAGAAGCTAAAAAATGCAATTTTATCCCAAATCCCATTCAGTTTCTTGCAAAATCCTGGCATTTCCAACAATGGTCATCACAATGCACACTCCATAATATTTTTTGAGTTCTTTTACTTCGACCAAAGCCTGTTGAGTCAATTTCCAACAACATGCCCGAGTACAAGCCCGAAGCTACTGACTAAATATGGTTTTACTAAAGAAATTCATTTTCATTTTCTTGTTTTTCTTGTAAGGGGTTTTGCGTTTTGGTTGTCTTTTTTATCTGGATAATAGTCAATTTTATTTATTTATTATATGTGTATACATCAGTCTGAAATCTTCAGCATGTTCTTTTCTGCCTTTTCATATTGCCATCAACAGAGTTGTACTCGTAATTCTTATGTTTGGGTTACCTTAAAGCATTTTTTATTGGTGTTAGGTCTTCGCCTGTATTTCTGTAGCCTGTGGTAAATTTTACCATCCACATTGTGTTGCACAACTCATTGATCAAGACAATGGAGTTACTGCTGAGGAGCTTGAGAAAAAAATTTCTAAAGCGGAACCCTTTACATGTCCAATTCATAAATGCTGCGTTTGTAAACAAGGAGAGAATAAGAAAGATCCCGAGATGCGTTTTGCAGCGTCTAGTCGTTTTCCAAAATCCTACCATAGGAAATGCCTGCCATGGCACTCTTAATTGTATTTTTTGTTTTGTTTGAGTATCTGACAAAGGCACATGGAAAGACTTTTAGTTGTATCTGTAGAACTAGTTGTTTTCTCGTAGTTTCATTTGAATTGAAAAGGTTTTTTCCAAACCTAGTTGCAAGAAAAATCTGAGTTAAACTGAATAATTTTCATATTTCTGCAGTTTAGCTGTTTGCATTAAGTGTTTGAATTACCTTTTGGACTCCGAATCGTTTAATATTTTGACACAGTCTAGTTTCACATGTCTTCTTCAATTTTGGAAATTTTCGTGCCATTTGGTTCAAAGCTCAAATTTGGGTGCATCTTAACCTACAGGACGTCGCTGCGAATTTTTCTTTGCGGCTAGTGAAATCAATGAGAAGTTTTCTATCCATTTTAAGTTGTTTAGATTTGTTGTTTCTTCCATTAATCTTTACCAAATATATATATATATTAATTTGAAACTTCTTGTAAATTTTAAATATTCCTTCTTGTTTGAAAGCCTGAAAACAAAGTCTAACCAACTAGTTTAATTTCATTTATTGTTTCCGAACCAGCAGTACAGTTTCAATATTTTATCAATAATCCTTCTATTCTACTCCTTTTAGTGGTCATTTATTCTCGTCTTAATCCCTTTACATCACACCTCAGTTTTTGGGGTGTGACATGTAGTTCAAGTGGTTAAGAGTATTTATCCTTACATTCAAGGTCCTAGGTTTAATTTTTCTGTCCTTTAATATCGCTTGTATAAAAAAAAATATATATAAAAACGTTGCAAATCAATACATGGACATGAATTGGTCAATCTATTATGACAACAGTTGATGAGACATGCTATGGCAATACATGGACATGATTCATGAATGTCATTGAGCTCAACATGGTGATTTGGCTATGGCTAGGGGAGACATACTAATTATGAGAGTCTCTTATTTTTATTTAAGTTTTTAGATATTTATTTCTCGCATAAATCTCAAATTTTCTCCATTTCACTCCCAGAAAAAAAAAGAAAAAAGAACTTAATTATAAATATTCAAAATTAGCAAATCTTGAACATAATTTGTTAGTTTGTCAGGGCGTAGTATCTATATATATAAAGCAAAAGGCAGAGAATGGTGAAACATTCAAAATATCAAAAAATGCCCTTGGTTACATTAAGAATTGAAATTATTAATTAAATGAGGATAATATGGTAAATTTACACTTTTAGAGTCTCTTATTTTTATTTAAGTTTTTAGATATTTATTTCTCGCATAAATCTCAAATTTTCTCCATTTCACTGCCAGAAAAAAAAAGAAAAAAGAACTTAATTATAAATATTCAAAATTAGCAATTCTTGAACATAATTTGTTAGTTTGTCAGGGCGTAGTATCTATAGGCATAGAATGGTGAAACATTCAAAATATCAAAAAATATCAAAAAATGCCCTTGGTTACATTAAGAATTGAAATTATTAATTAAATGAGGATAATATGGTAAATTTACACTTTTTCATATTTAAAAAAATTAAAATTAAAAGAAAAATCAGATAATGCCCTATTTTTACGGAACACAACTACCAATTATCTTTTTTAATTCTAAAATAAATGTTAATTTTTTTAAAAAAAGCCTCTCGCAGACGCGGAAGCGAGTGCGGAGAGGCAAGTATGTAATTTAAGTCACACAAACCTATCATGCAATTAAGATTTATCAATTTTTTGTTGTTAAATAAACATGTCTTACAGTTTCATTAAGTATATTATTGGTTAAATAAACGTGTCTTATAGTTTCATTAAAAATTTACATATCGACCACGTGTCATAATAGTTCACGTGTGAAACTAGTGCGTCTCAGTCCCATTATTTAACCTAACTTATGCGACATGTCGTTGGGATATGAGGTACGGAAATCTGATTCATTCCTAATCCCTCACCGAAATATATAATAAGTTCAAATTTCGCAGCAAACAGAGGAAACAAACTAACCCAAAACCCACTTTCTGCATTGACTTCTGTGAGTCCTATCGACCAAGAGACCAAGCTTTTCAGGGCGGCGAAGTTAGGGTTTTGTGTCAATCTGATCAGGTAGGTAAACATTGTTGAATTCTCGATTTCTTCATGTTCTTGTCTTTTCAGTATGCAATTCATTTCGAAATAGTAAATTTCAATTAGTGATATTCATGGACTGCTTGTGTTATTTTTTTCGATTTTATTTATAGGTGTAGTAAATTAAGGGTGTGAGTTGAAGAAGGTTATGGCACCGTCAGATGACTCAGATGATGAGAGCGAGCATTTGCCAGATTTTGTTACGAATTACCATTTTATAGACGACGAGGATGTACCCGTCTCTTTTCATGTTTTGCCAATTGAATGGAGTGAGGGTAAGAGGCAGGATGGCAAGACTCGGCAGATATCTATGCGTGGCACTGCTGATAATGGGCTGCAGAGAATATATATGCAGGTTATCGCATGGAAGTTTGACCTTTCCAATGTGGATCCTGTTATCTCGGTGCTCTCAAAGGAAAAGCACTGGGTCAGGCTTCAGAAGCCAAGGAAGAGCTTTGAGGACATAATAAGGTCAATCTTGATAACAGTGCAGGGCCTTCATTATGTGAAGAGAAATCCCGAGACATCCAGCAAATCTTTATGGGATCATCTATCTAAAGTTTTCAGGTATCTTTCAAACGTGTAAACATCTCATCTGTTGCTAGTTTTCTTAGCCCAAAGTCTGACAGTTTCACTTTATTTGCAGTTCGTATGAGGTCAGGCCGTCGCAGAATGACCTTGTGGATCACATGCCTCTAGTTAGTGAAGCTATTAAATGGGATGATGCCTTAGCAAAGTCCAAGGTTTTGTCTAGTTCTTTTCTCATCATTGTAACTGTACGGAGTAATTAGCCATTATGGGGATTATAGTAGGATTCAAGCTTTCTATACTTGTTTTTCTTTAACTTGGTTTGATCTCTGTGTTATTTTCACTCTGTTGTTATTTCCTGTTTCCTGTTCTGAGCCTTCTGCATGAATTATAAACTAGCTTTATGTTTATGCACAGTTAATTAAATGACAGATTGTGTTTTGAACAGTATTTAGTCAACTTTCTTAAAGAGAAGCCCATGAAGAGGAAACTATATGATGAGGTCATATTCTCTTGCTTATTTGTTTACTCTTTCATTAGCACACTTTTATCCCTGAGTTCTTTTATTTATTTCTCTAGTTTGGCTTTTAGTTTCATGTTACAGTGTTTGAGCCAGTGAACTCATTGGATTTTCAGGACATTCAAGCTACAGAAAAGCCCGGGTTTATAGTTGATGACCTGGAAGATTATTTGATTGATGTTGAAGACGAGTCCAATGATGATGACAACCTGTTTGATTCTGTTTGTGCTTTTTGTGATAATGGTGGAAATCTTTTGTGGTATGTTCTCGTGTTGTCTAATTTCTATGATAATAGTGATAATAATCTTGGCATTATTTAAAGAACTTAATTTCCTAGAATTAATGGTTTAAATATATGTGTTTATTTTTTTCTCTAATACAGCTGTGAAGGGAGATGCCTAAGGTCCTTTCATGCAACTGAAGAGAGTGGTGAGGAATCTATGTGTGAATCTCTTGGCTTTACCCAGGATGAAGTAGATGTATGCTCTTATTAACCACTTTTGTTGTAAATCCTGTTTCTCTTTTTTTTTGGTTGTCTTTTCGTTATTGCTATTATGATTATTTTTATTTTATGTTTTGAACTTGGTAGGTGATGCAAAATTTCTTCTGCAAGAACTGTGAATATAAGCAGCATCAGTGCTTTGCTTGCGGGAAGCTAGGATCCTCTGATAGATCTTTAGTTGCTGAGGTATGAATTCTTTTCTACCTAGCTGTTAGCATGTTCACTTGATTAGTTTTAGCAAGTGGCACTCTAATATGAAAGATTGTTATAATTTTAAAACTAGGATTTTATAGTTATTCTATTTGTTCGTGTCGAGCTGTTTGGGATCATTTTCTAGTGTTTGGTCTGCTTGCTCGTTGTCTTCTGCTATGCTCTATTGCTCTTTGATTATACTTATATTTTTCTCTCCTTTGTTGTGCTTGTCGTGATGTTGTCTTCCCTATTTCTAGGACCTGGATCTTTTCTTAGTGTGTTTGTAGTGCCCAATTCATCCTTTGTACATTATTTCTGGTTGGCATTCTTTTCCGTTTCTTATATTAATTTATTATTCTTTTTTGACTCATTTTGCTCAGTCTACCTAGAATAACTTTTTCTTTGCCCAGTATTTTCCATATATCCCATAGCTGATTTAGTGAATTTCCATGGCACTGATATGAATTTTAGTACATCTGTTTTAGGCTACACATATATTTCTCTGGTTAATTATTTTTTTTCTTTGAAAAAGAAAGGGATTTGAAGCCATAGGAAAGGTGAGCATTAATTGTCCTTAAATCAACTGAAAGAATGGCCATACAGGATACTAACATAAGACCAGCCTGTTGGGAACTTGTAGAGACCAATTACCATAAATAAAGAAAGTGGTACCCCTTCAACTGGTCATCACAATGCACCTCCATAATATTTTTTAGTTCTTTGATTTCGACCAAAGCCCATTGAGTCAATTACAAATATGAAGTCCCCATCTTAGAAGTAACTGAATAAATATGTTTTTACTAAAGAAATTCATTTTCTTTTGTAAAGCGTTTTGCGATTTTGTTGGTAGCGTTATCTGGATGATTGTGAACTTCTTTTATTTATTATGTATATCAGTGAGAAATTTTCAATATGTTCTTTTCTGCCTTTTCATATCATCTACAGGGTATTACTATTATTCTTCTGTTTGGTTTGCCTTAAAGCATTTCTGTTAATTGCTGTCAGGTGTTCCCCTGTGTTTCTGCAACCTGTGGTCAATTTTACCATCCACATTGTATTGCACAACTCATTTATCAAGACAATGGAGTTACTGTTGAAGAGCTTGAGAAAAACATTTCTAAGGGGGAATCTTTTACGTGCCCAATACATAAATGCTGCGTTTGTAAACAAGGAGAGAGTAAGAAAGATCCTGAGATGTGTTTTGCTGTTTGTAGGCGTTGTCCAAAATCCTACCATAGGAAATGCCTGCCACGGTACTCTTAATTGTATTTTTTTTGTTTACCTTTTAATATGCTGTTTGGAGAC